CCTGTGCTTATTTGTGTATCAGTGTGTGCAGATATGTTTTCGTAAATTTCTACATTAGTACTAATATCTGTTGTTCTTTCAATTTCTATACTACTATTTATATCTATATTTTTCTCTACCATTGTCAATACTCCTTTAGTATATCCCCAGTATTTGATGCCTCTTAAGAAACTCTTGATACCGGAAGAGTTATTTTTTTTTTCTAATTTATCTACGAATTCAATAATATTATCATTAAATTCTTTAAGTAATAGTCTTAAGCTATTGTCATACTTATTTTGATTAGCTTCTAAAAATTTCATTCTTTCTCCAAATTCATAAAAAGCCCAATAACTTGGGTCAATGTCACTTTCCAATTTTTTAAATTTATCATAAATTACATCTAGGTTTCTAAATATTTGAAATATATTGTCATCAAATTCATTCGGATATGAATTCTTGCACAGTGACATGAAACCCAAAATATTTGCATTGTCTCCAATTTTACTTAGCTTCTGCATTTCTTCATAGCACCTTGTAAGTGTTTCACATTTCCATTTACGATTTATGAGTAAATCTTTTAGTTTGTAATATATGTTTTAAATAATAAGTAACAAGTTGGCAGTCTTGAATAAAATATGGCTCACTAGAACCATCTATATTATCTTTGTTAAAATTACTACACAGTGTTGTCAACTTATTAGCCACATTGTCATAATATGAATATCGTAACCACTTAAAATTTCTTCTACATTTTGGGTATATATAACTAAAATCAAACTAAATATAATAGTATGAATGAATTGAAATATACAATATATTATTTTTGAATAGAAATAATTTATTGGATTACATAAATAAATATATGTTATAATTAAATAATCTAAATTATCTTTATATCAGTAAATATAAACATACATTATAATTCTCTGTTAAGGTTTTATGCATTATATAAATATTTTTTATTTAATTCATAAAAATAAATTATTATATTTATGTTTTTACATAACAATAATGACATAATGAATACTACATTGGTGAGATAATATGTGGAATTCATAATTTATAAAAATTACAATATTTTTATGATTTTATGTTTATTATTTTTATTCATTAATCCACCGTACTAATGTTCAATCCGAATTATTATTTTAGTGTATTATTGCATATTATAAAAGTAGCAATAGAGTATTTTAAACTAATGGAAATATTATGTAATAAAAATACACTTATAATATAATTACATATAAAAAGAATAACAATTCATTTTTACCCTCATATATAAATTAAGTGGAAAATGCGTTTATATAATAAATGATTTTTTTTGCATGCTTAATTTTTATACATAGCTTTAATTTCCATTAAAAACTGGACATAATCAAAAACAAATATGCATTGTGCATGTTTATAATTTATTATTTATACAATAAGCATTATATTTTAATATATTTTTTATCATAATAAAAAAAACTATATACACATAATAGAATGCTTTATTGCAATAAATGTAAATTATATCCAATTTAATTACATAATATGAATAAATAGTTTTGTATAGTAAAATATTTAGTGAAATATATAATAAAATAAGATTTAATATTATAAATATGAGTATAAAATTATGCCTACTTTATTTGACCCCAATTGCCTATTATAGAAATAATTAATATATACTATACTAAATGTATTTGTATTATAAAGAATAAATTTATAATATTTTGTATTATATTTATATATACATTATAATTAATCTATATATTCATACCTCATATCCTGTAGTGCAAATGATAATATAAGAACAGATAAAATATCATAAAATTCATATTTATTAATATAT